CCCCGCGGGCCCCGCGCGCCCCGCGCCGCCCGCGCCCTCGCCGCCCGCCACGCCGCTACACGACCCGCCGCCGCCGCGACAACCCACGCCGCCGCAACACGAGGCTAGTTCCTATCTTATACTACTCACTTGCTACTCATCGACCCACTGCACTAATTCAGTCCACAGTTCTAGACGTTTCTACGTTTCTTTCCCCATCATTTAACATGGCAACTATTTTTATATGCTAGAACCTCTCAACCTGTTCTGCTACTGAAATGACTTGCTAAGAATATTATGAATAAATTGTTATGTATGTAAAATACGGTTAACTCTAACACACGATTGACCACTAGTAGATTAACTGGAAGGTTGATTGGAGAGATTTCCTAAGATATAAAATTATAATACAGTCACTTTTCTATAAAACTGCAATGAGTTCTACTGTAAATATGTCAGAAAATAACTTCGCCCGCTTGATTTACTAACGATCACGCTTGACTAACGTTAACTTCGAATGTTACTCCAGACAGTGAGACCGTACACGCCGCGTCAGTTCCCGCTGGCGGACGAGCAGTACCAGCGCATGGTGGCGTGCATGCCGAGCGGGTTCCACGCGAGTCGCTCGGCCACGCCGTCGCTGCCGTCGCCCGCGCCGCCCGACGCGCCCGACAGCGACTCGTCCAGCACGCTGTCTCCCGCCGAGCAAAGTGTCTTCGACGGCGACGACCCGGACGACGCCGAGTGGGACCCGCATGCTGAACGGGCTGAGCGACGGAAGTCCTCGTTTAGATGAATCGACCGTTATACCGCACTACCGGTCTTACATTGTCTCAGAAGTCGCCACTACTTCTGTCTAGCTCTGTAGCAGTAACTCCTCAACTCTGCCTTTAGAGATATTCGTAGCAGATAAAGGAGAAAAGCTTTAAAGGGCTGTTTGCCTATGTAATAATTAATTTAGTTTTTAGTTGCTGTCACATTTGGTCACCTCATGCTACTCCAAAGTTTGGTCTTTGCATTTTATCATAAACACACCCACTTTTTGTGCAATTGGATGTTAGCAGGCACCATTAAGAAATAATAGAAATTTGTTCACTTACTGTTGAGAACATTTGAAATCCTAAATGTAACATACCTTTAGTAAACAGTTTTTTTGATGTTGATGGCTATGTGTATTCAGATCAGTAGGTTATATTTTTATTATAATATAATTCAGTAAGTGATTTAAAACATAGTAAAAGTAAGATCTAAATTTAATTAATTGGTATAATATTAATGAAAAATAAATTGACTTGTATTTACTTTTCACAGCATTGCACATATACATTACTGTAACTAAGTACATCAGTATTCTTGTAAAATGTAAAGTGGTGATGAAGTAAGTTCAAGATACATACTACTATAAAAACATGAGCGCCCATTGTACAATATGAAAATGTGCAAGATGCACTTGCTCACAAAATTTATTGATGTTTATTGTATGTTAATCTCACATTGCGTGAAATGAGGTAATATTCTGTTGTTGACCGCAAACTTAATTATAATATGAATGTTGTAAAAAGACGTGTGAACTGATGTATTAATAAAACAGTAGCTTTTGTAGTTTACTGATGCAAGTGAGCGTACCATAACATTCCCTTCAGTTCAAATAATGTTCTTGTACATGTTAAATTTAATTTAACGACTATTTGTATGCATTGCAATATTTCTTGATTAAACTTTTTACGAGACAGGATTATTATGAATGTGTGCCCCTTACATTTTTGTCTACATTTAAGTTTGATGATGAAGCTTTTCTATTTTAATAATAATGCCCAATTATTGTCGCCAAGCGTTTGTAAATATTGTCTTATATTACTCGGGCACTGATTAGAAACTTATAGACTGGCTATAAATTAATTATTTGAATCTCTGTAAGAGTATGAATTTGATGTTTCAAGCCTTCAGTTTTGCTCTTAGGAAATGTCTGGTTTTAGTTCACATTTACCATTGGTAAACATTATTTTTGTCACACATAAAACATTGGTGTATTTGATAAGTGAATTGTGTAAATAGTTGGTCTATGAGACAGGAAATTGACTGAGTATATAACATAAGATAGGAGACTACTTCACTTAGTTTTCTGTCACCAATAGTTATGAAACTCTCATGGTTATATGTTTATTTGAAATAATAATATTCTTGTAAGTTATCAGAGTGTATGTTGTTAAGACTGCTTGGCTGATAGTATACATACATAATTATTGTGAAGGTGAATGTAAAATTTAATGAAGTTTGTTCAATTTTCTTGAGAAGCCAAAGTCTTCTGGTTATTTGTAATTAATTGAAGTATGTAGTTAAGTTTTTTTAAGGTGACTCTGTTCCAAAGAGTGGATTGAGAAATATAGAATTAAACTGAAATTTTGTTTCATTTTAAATAATACAAAAAAGTTTAATGTGTATATTTTATTTTCACTAATAGCAGCATACAAATAGTAAATGATGACTAGTATGCCTAAAAAGTTCAACTACATGTAAAATTCATTCTACTTTCTAACATTTAACATTTGATAGGCTCATTAATTTGGCATATTCTATTGAATATGCCAGTAAAATACAAGGTTACAATGAGTTTTAAATTAATAAAAAAAAATCGTAAACAGCTTATGTTTTGTATGTATAAAAGTTGGATTTTATCAAAACTTACAAATATTCACTATATTTATTTAGGTGGTATGTATCATCAAAACTTATCTAGGAAATGTTAGAAATTATTTGGAGCGAGATTCATTACATCACAAATTAAAGGAAAAATTTGACACTAATCAATTGCATTCTAGGATATTTATGTTCTCGTAGTCGAATGGCATGGAGTGATGGGATTGGTTTATATGGATGGTATAATAGATTTTCAATTATGAAGATTCCCATTTGTCCTATCCACAGAAATATTAAAAAATATATATCTTCTTTAATATATCTGTGGTCCTATCTCTTACAGAGAAAATAATATGTAATTATTATGTACATGCCATTGTTTCTTCATTAACTAATTAACACAAATTAAGTACACTGCAAATAAGACACGAAATCTTTGCACACAAGTTATTCAGTTTGATAACCGAATAAAGGACAACCTAACAATAATACTATACATAATTAACATGGCACTATTTATACAGTGTTGCACACACTTGCACGCCATGATACGGAATGTGCTTAATTATACATAATTGCAAAATTTTGCTTGTCGTCTTGGCAAGTGTGTACAAAGCACAATTATAACAAGTAGTTAGGTACAATACAATGGTCTGTCTTGCACCAACTTACTAAACATATCGCAATAATCTAAGCACAATCACATAGTTGCTAATTAACATTATAATACTGTATAATAATGATAAATGGTCAGAGCTACACAGCCTTATATCAAATAAATGCATCATGGAATGTTTAGTCAACATTGTTCACTTACTCTAAGTTTCTTACACACTTAAGTAATATCGCCGATAAATTATATACAAATTAATAAAAAGAAGGCTAGCATTTTTACATTCTAGGTGTAACAGCAACCTAAACAGCGCGAGGTGAATCTTCAATATTTATTATTTATACATTTTTGAATATTGAAACAAACTACCGATTAAAGTATTTACTCCAGTTACATTCGAAATGGATAAACATCTATAGCATGCTACAAATTATTTTAACGTCACGAAAGTTATAAAACGCGATCTACTAATCGTATCAATAACAGTGACACAATTTCAAGCCATATTTAGCCACGAAATGTTTGCTTTCCAAAGATAACAGTGCTACAGGGTAAACGAGTTAGTTAATATTCCTAGAGAGATCCTGAATGCGGCGAGCGTTGCACTCTCTGCAGTAGAGATGATCGTCGAGAGGATAACAGCCCCGGCCCTCCTGCCTAGAGCACAGTGAGGTCCCACAGTCCTCGCAGGCGTAGCACGCAACATGGAAGCTTTTATCTAGAGCTACGATGCGAACGGTTTCCTCTGCGCCGCTCTCCGGAACGATCGGCTCACGACAACGCGCGCAGCGCGGCGCATATCTGTTAAGTTGATAAAATATTTTTTATGTTTATACAGATTATGGTTGGCCAAAGCAATTAATGCAGTTATTAATTTTGAACTGGCAAAGAGATGCCAACTAAATAAAGTGGCACTATTGTTAGTATCACTGTTACAGGGTATGGTACTTAGCATGGTGCAAGCTCAGAAATTTGTGTAATCAGGTATAAGAACAACACCCACCTTTTATGAAAGTCCTCAATACAGTGAATACGGTTGACTGCGTCTACTGTAAATGGTATTCCATCAAGACTCTTCTGACAGACCACGCAAGTGAAGCAACGGGGGTGGTAAGGTTTGCCTGTCGCACGCAGGATGCGGTCCAGGATAGGATCGCCACATACACAACATTTCTCTAAAGTATCCAAGTAGTCCCTTTCACACAGTGCTCGCCCCTGCACTGCATAGAAGGGGCGACCCTACAAACAAAAATTATATTTTAATATATATAATATAGTATGATGCATGTATGTTTCCAAAAAACTGCCTCATTGGTCGAGTAGTCACAAGTGTGAGTAGACACAAGAAATCTTAGAGAGATCAATTCCAAGGTGGGGCAAAGTATTACTGGGTGTTTAGTAGTAGCATGAAGTCTGCAAATGTGCCAGATATATGGCAATAGGCTCACCTCCTATTATATTATGGGACTCATAACATAATAGTGAAAAGTGGATGTTACATTGTTCAGTGGCATTAAGTGCCATAACATGCACCTCTGCTTACCCCTTCAGGCATAAGGTGTGATGTTATGTTTTGTTATTTGCATAAAATTAACTGGTTTATATTGTAAGATTATAAAATTATATTGATGGTTTCAGTCACCAACTAAAATAGCTTGCAGTAATTATTGGTATGATATATTATTATCTTTGTGGCTACTCAGACGAGGGCATGAAAGAATATTGCATTTACTAGGCATGCACCTAACACTATGTTACCGCTGTCAGTATTTCTATTTAACTTGTTTGGTAAGCTTTCAGTGTGTTATTAATTTTTAATTAAACTGTCGAATACCAAGCGGTCACCGGTGACCGCAACCTATTGTTCTATAATTGTGTCTGCAAAACCGGTACTCGACGAGTTAAATAATCCAACATGACTAGATGACTACCCCCTAAATAACGACAAGCATAGTAAAAAAATAAATGTAACTCTATACTTACTTGTAAGTTAATTCCACATTGTTGACAGCAGAAACATTTAATATGATAGATCCTTTCCATGGCAGTGCAGCCAGTAGTCTCACCCATAATCTTCTCACCACATTTGTAGCAGTTACCACAATACAGTGCATCGTCAGGTTCTGGAGTAGGCTCCACTGTGGTGCCTACATAGCCGCCGTACAGGGACGTGCCAGACAGCTGACTGCATGGTCTAGGATTAATGGGCTCATACAGAGATTCGTAAGTAGATGATGTCTGAGATCCACCATAAGTAGAAAAGTCCTGAGCATTAACAGACGCCGAAGATGGGGGATATGCGGAGCCGGGTCGCCGCAACTCACTGTAATTAGACTGTGCACCTAAATCGCTAATTCTAGACACTTCTGATCTCGTATCACGATCACCGTAAATACTATCACCACCGTAAGCATTGCGCTGCATCATAACATTGGAGTAGACATGGTTGGTGCCCCCGGGAGGTAGTACATTGCTGTATAGCAAAACATCACCGCTGCGTACTTTAGCTGTATTCCGCACGATGCAACTCTTCACAGGGACCAAGTTTGAGTATGTGGAACTAGTGCGGCTACCATATTCTAGTCTAGATGAATAGGACGGTTCACAGGCAGACTTCACCATACAACTTTGAGGTATTTGAGGCAAAGGAGGCTTATTTTTTTTGGGTGGAATTGAAGGTTTTTTCATAGCCGCGTTAATATCATCTTGAAGTTTTGCTTCCAATTCGTTAGCGTATATTCGTAGATCCGCTAATTGTTTATCGAGTGTATTCATTTTAACGACTTACACAATACTAAACTACACTATTTTATTCATTAAAATAGAATATAAACGTTACGCCCTGATTTATTGTTTGATGCGAAACTGACAGCGACAGCTCCTTATTGTCTTGTTATTATCATCTGTGGAGGCTGCAGTGCGCTAGCTTGCGTTTTATTGTATGCATCAATCAATTATGATATTCATTCGACATTTTTGTATTATTTTTTATCATTATCATAGAAAATTATAAAACAGTCACCTAATCTAAATTTTGCTGAAATAAAAATATTGAAACGATAATTTCTTAAATGAAAACAGTTGCCAGATATGGACGCACCCTTATCCCTTACCCTACACCTACCCAGACGTACCTACCTAAAGGTTGTGTTTAATTGGTTTTCAAATTTTATTTCAATTATTTTTTACTATATGTCGTTAACACTCGAACAATTAACTTATTTACAAGTAAAATTCGTTATAGTTTCATATTAGTTATCGATATGGCTAACTACATAACGTTTGCTATTTTAGTAGCTCTAAAGGTTGGTATAGAAGTATTTTTTTCTAATTCTCAAGGAACTATAAAATCTATAAAATATGAAAATGGATGAATGCACCAACTACTCAGTTAGGTAGGTAGGTACTACATACTTATTTGAATTTTAATTTTTGCAGTTAGCTACAGCTTCGGATGACGATGACGGTAAGAGAAGCAATTGCATTTTACCGTCACAACTTAAAACAAACTTACTTAAGTGCTTACCTACCCAAGTTCACAAACTTTTGTCACTAATCACCAGCACTAACTTGTGTAACTTACTTATAGAATATTTTAACTTACAGACAAACTATCACCAGTAGATACTCAAGAAGAAGAAGTAAGGGAGAAATGATTTTTTTTATTATTATAATGGTAATGATTGTGTAACAACGTTATTTATTCTATTTTATTCAAACATTTATGTATTTTTCAGTGGCACATGGATTTTATGCCTGTGAGTACGTCCAGATTAGAGTAACATTAAACGAATGCAATTTATTTTTATAAATACAATTTTCATATCAAGACACATATAATAATTAAATCTACTTAAAATTTTTTTTTCAGACTGGCTACCTGCCTGATAGTGTTTACAGGGAACTCGCGTGGTACGGTATCCTTCAGATTCAACCTCTCCACCATAGCTCTAAGTACAAAGTAGCTGCACAACTGATATGGCAACATACGTTGGGCCGACCACACGTCATCATGGAAAATCCACCGCAGGTAAGAAATGGTATGATAGTGGTTTTCAAGCAAACAAACTTAGAGCTTTTCTGTGTTCACACTTAACAATTTTGGTTCTTATTTACCTATGAAATTGGTGCTAGAATATTGACGTACAGCAATTTTAACTGAAATAACATAACACAGATTAAAATTTTATCTCATAGTCGACCCAAAGCCCAGGGAAAGTAAGTCGTCAGATTTTGGCTGAAGAAGCAGCGAAATGGTCTCGCGAACAGCGTGCGGCGCAGGAGGTTCTCATGGAGAACATTAAAAGTGGAGGCAACGGCCTCACAGTTAGAACTGTGGTCAGTAAAAAAGAAAAGTCTGTTTATATTATACAAAATGGTAAGTTCAATTAAATACTTGACCAATTCAATTTCGGCTAGAGAGATTACGTTTTAAAAAGCGAAAGTACCTATATATTAAGTTTATTGTAGGAAACTACTACAAGTGTCCACCTAATACGGAACCGGATCTCCAAGCTTATCGAGTACAAGCCAACATGCATGAACGAAGGTGCACGGGTGGGGAAGCGTCCATTCCCGTTGCACTGGATCCTTGCATAGAAGCTGAAGTGGCCCCCATTGAGTATTCGTTCCACGAAGGGTGGATGTTCTGCCTCGGTAACGGCGAGAGAGAGAATAACTATTTCCAAAATGGAACGTTGGATTGTGGAAATAAGACTAAAGTAAGACTATTACAGTTTACTCAATAAAATACGAATTAGATTAATTTAGGGCATTTATCATGCAGGTATTGACTGACTGTTTTTAAAATATTAGATTGCAGTGACCCAATTTTTAGAAGATTGTGCAATTGATAATAACATAGTCATAACATTTGACTATTTCGGTGACGAACCGCGTAAGGATATGATGCACAATGCTACTTTGTGCACTACCTGGGATCCTTGCCGATTATCGTACCTATACCGACTTGAGGTAAGGTTACTTTTTGTTTTTAAAATATTTTTAATCGTTTTTTTTCGCGTTATTTGTGGAACATCAGCCTTGAGCAGTTGATTACACCTATTGTTACATAAAAGATACATTTAATTCCTTACTTTTTGAAAATAAATCTCGTTTTTTACCTTCTCCTGTCGTCCTTTTTTAAAACCGTTCCATTTACAACCTGAACCTACTTGTTTGTTTACTGTTCTGTCTCTAAATTAAAGATACTGAACTAAAGAAACAACATGACTGTTCATGATGGCCAATTAGGATATCTATATTTTTGTAACTTTTATGTAAGTGGGTGTCTGTATATTTTCTAGCCACCTCCAGCAGAGATGATGCCCTCGTTCCCAACAACAACCGTTAATCCTTGCGAATCTACTGTTTGTCCGGAATGTTTGGAAGAAAATATTCCAGACCCTGGCATCGAAATAATGCGTAAGTAAAGGGCTCCAGATCGAAGTGCAGGAGTAGGAACGGGGTGGTTTTTAATTAGTAAGAGTCTGACATTCCCTCCCGCCTCACCCAGATGGGAGAAGACATTCGATGATTTTTCCCCCTTAAATAAAAGAAAGTGTGTGATACCTTTACTCAAATGCCGCGCCGCCCTATCTACATACAATTAAACCTAATAACAAATAAAACATGCATGTCTTGACCTTTTCGTTTACAGAAGAGGAATTTCACTCTGGCGTTGAGACCATTCCTGATGGCAGTTAAGAAATAAAAGAACGAAGAATATGCAGAAAAATAAGAAGATAAATAAAATAAATATTATCTATATTACTGTTAATGATTTAATTTGAAAATAAATTATTTGCCTTATTCGGATTATTCGGATGAAGAGATTATATTAACTTTATCTTTAATTTAATTTTGATTTAATTTTGATTTAATTTTGATTTAATTTTGATTTACTTTTAATTTGATTTATTTAATTTTAATTTTATTATTATATCATTCTGTTTCATTTATGGTTATAATGACATATCCTTATAAATTTCCTAAATAGAACAATTGTATCTTTACTTATTAATATATTTTACCTATCGGATTAACATTGTAATAATATGGGTTATGATCACCTGAAATAAATGTATTTTATTTTATTTTATTTATTTATTTATTCATGGACGCATGGTTTAAGGTCATATATCAAGCACGGCTCCAATTCAGCAATTAACTTGTCATCTTTATATCGTATGTTGTATACCTAACTTATTTCAAAAGTCCATATTAAAAAAGCTGTTAGCGCGCCCATGCGCCGTCGGCACGCTGTCAACCTCTCTGTAAAACACCGTGCCGGAGCTGTGCTCTTTAGGTGTGCGATGACCTTTAATCCGTTTAGCACGTGACTGTCCTAAATGCTATGCCCCATTTTACTGTAAGATTTTTACTTTAATCCGTTTAGCACGTGACTGTCCTAAATGCTATGCCCCATTTTACTGTAAGATTTTCCACGTTCAAATTATTATTCTATCTTGCTTGTAGGTATAGTCCTGTAACAAAATAAAATTGATAGTGATGTCACAGTCACTAGGAATCTAAACTGAAAACTAAATAAATGAATCTTTTAGGATATAAACGATTATTTCTAGACTATTTGAGTTTTTTATACTTGATAGGTTGACCTTTCCATGCTTCCATCTCGCCTGGTGGTAAGCGATGATGTGGCCGACAATGGAGCACCCCAAACTATAAGCAATTTATTTACTCGGGATTTGAAGACACCCAAGTCATCGGTCGCATAGCATACATATTGTAGATAAATTTGTTATACTAAAAAAAATTCCGTACCTATGGACTTTGTGGTCTGGACGTCTGGAATAATTTATTTTAAAAAAGTTTCATTGCTTTGTTGTAATGAACGCATTTCTTTATACCAAGGGTTTTGTCAATTAATAATGTCACAACTCATCACAAGATGACACATGACATGACATGACATGTTTCTTGAGGTTATCCTCCAGCATTTGAAATGTCACAATTTATACACAGCCTATCGCAGTTTTGATTGTATTTGTGAAATAAAAGCTATTTTGTACTGAAAATGGTGGTCTTGAATGCATTTGAAGATATTGTAGCAGAATTACAAGAGATAGACAAGCTTAGTTTACCGGGATTCAAACAAAGTCCTTTGAAGGTTTGCTATAATAGTGATAACGTAAGTTTACTCTTTATATTGTAATTTTTATTATGTACTGTAAATTTTTTTATTTGTAGTTTTAAAAGGCTTCATGCACATATTAATGTGCATAAAAGAAGGCTAAAGGAGGAGGAGAGTTAAAGGTGGGCTTAATGCAATGGGCATTCTCTTCCACCCAGACCATTGTAAAATGTACCTACACAAGAAAATCTTATGATCTAATGGAATTATGTATCTATTACAGAGTACTGAAACCTCATACGATGGATTGGGGCCTCCTTTACCGTTTGCCACCAGTAAGATATTCGATGCTGATATATATATGTGGAAACAACTTACTGCTTCAAACGGAGACTGTAAGGCAGTTTATGAAATAACCCTCGATGTTGAAGTATGTATAACTTTGTAGTTCTTAATTTAAAAATGATGTTGTATTTCTAAATTTTATTCTAGGTATTATAGGCATATATGTACAATCTCATATTTTTATTTTAACTTTAGTTTATAAGCAAATAGCTTCATTTTTAAATTTTTTGTTTACATTCAAAAGTCCCTTTCTGGTCTAATTGAGATAAACATTTTGACTTTGACTATTGTCATGATTTAATATCATAATTTGCATTCCAGTTTCTATCCTAAGTTATGTGTGGTTACAATATTGAGAATGAAATATTGTAACCACACATAACTCTCTCTTAAATTATCATCACACCACAAACTCCATTTTGTTACACAGTCTATCATGTATTCTGATTATCCTAATAATTAAGTATAAAACATCAATTCCAGGACAGCAAATTCACATTTAAAGCTGGTGATACAATAGGTATTATACCTCAGAATGATGATTCAGACATTGATTTCATTGTGAGTCATCTGAATTTAGCGTCTACTGTAGATCTCCCCGTGTCCATCACCGTGGATTCTAGTACAAAGGGAAATAAGCTTCCGATACACATTCCTGCCAAGTCTACATTGAGACATGTATTGAAATACTGTGTGGAATTAAGGAGTCTATTGAAAAAGGTATGGCGTCATATCTACTATTATTTTGATTATTAGATTAATTGACTTTTGTTTCTTGTTTAACTGAACAATACCCAAGTGGTCACTGGTGAGCGCTCTCCACTAATTCCATTATAGAACTTATTTTGGGGAGACGATCATCGCTCGCGTCCGTAGGACTTACCACCTTTTCCTAGGCCTACCCTACACGTGTCCCCCGGGTGGTGCTAAACGAGCGAAAACGCCGAGTCTCTGGCGGCGGTAAATGAACCAGACCAATCCAGACCTAACCCGTCTGTTCAGTGTAGGTAGGAAATGACCTCCACAAACCTCCCAACAAGCTTGCTAGTGAGCTTATGAAGTCTGCCAGCACCTTTAAGCGCATCAAAAGGAGAGCTCCACAGGACCTACTCCTGTCTCAGCAAAAACATCCAACTTGAGGGATGCAATAATTGAAGACGGGTACACCACTGGGCGTTCTCCGTACATGTCACAATACATGAACCTCTTAACCACCAGTTAAATGCCCAACTGGGCAGATTGCAGGGAAATAAGGAGATTTAAAAAAAAAAAAATATAAGTACTAGTTTAAAGAAAATCATATAAAAATTATTTATTAATAAATGAGACAATACAAATTTTGGATAAGGGGTTTCCTAATTAGTTTAACATGATATAAAAATCCCTTCAACCTGCAATCTTTAATAAAGTCATTATGGTATATTATTTTTAAGTAATAAAAACACATGTTCTGTTTCAGGCTTTCCTTTTATCTCTATCCAAATACACTGAGGATGACAAAGAAAGAAAGATACTTGAATATTTATGCAGTAAGGAGGGCGCTGCAGCATATTCTACCCATGTTCTAAACAAAAGTCTATGTATACTAGACATATTTAGTATATTCAAAACTTGTAAACCTCCTATAGAGGTTTTACTTGGTAATCTACCCAGATTACTGCCAAGACCTTATTCAATTGTTAACAGTGGTTTAAAGAATAATCATGTCATGAAAATTTGCTTCTCTGTGATGACAAACAACAACCGAAAAGGACTCACAACTGGGTGGTTAGAAAGGCTATTATTGAATGAAGAAATCACACTAGAAAATGGATTAAAGAATATGAGTATTTCTAAAGAATCTCTGAATAAACAGAAAGTGTCCATGTACCTTCGGAAAAATTTCAGTATGTTTTGTTTACCCGAGAGTTTAGAGAAACCACTGATTTTAATTGGGCCTGGCACTGGAGTGTCACCTTTTATTGGGTTCTTGGAGGAAAGAGAATTGTTAAAAGAAAGCAATCAAGATGTAAAGTTTGGTGATGTGTACTTATATTTTGGATGCAGAAATCCAAAACTAGATTTCATTTATGAAGAAGAATTGAAGGATTTTTTGGCAAAAGGCACATTGACTAAGCTTTTTACAGCGTTTTCTAGAGTTGATTCGGAAAATAAGTACATTCAGGTATGTATCAGTTACGACATCAGTTTTTGTATATTGGATTTTTTTGTTTTGTGAGTATACAAGTGTTGTTTTAAAGCCGCGTTATTTTCTAGGAGGTAACTCGGCTATCGATTCTGAGTCCGAATCAATAAAAAAATATTGTAGGTTTTCTTTTTTCAGTAACGGAATGTAAATTACGGAAATCCGTAAGTGTGAACTCCACGCTGCCGTCTTGTAACTAGCTTTATAACGCGGCTTAACACACACAAACTCAAACACGTAATTGATATTAATCCTAATTCCATAAAACTCCATTAAGAAACATTGCTGTCGCTTATTCTGAAATACTGTCAAACTTAAACGATTTGTTATAGTCGTAATTTTGACTATTTTTTTTTTTTTTTTTTTTTTTAAGGGGGGAAAATCATCGAATGACTGCCCCCGCCTGGGTGAGGCGGGAGGGAGTGTCAGACTCTTACTGACTAAAAACCACCCCGTTCCTTCTCCTGCACGTCGAGCCGGAGCCCCGGTTACCCGTTAGGTTCTCCGCGACTCCGAATCGGCATCGGCCCTATTGGGCCCCATCTGTGGTGGTCTGATGGCTCTTTGAGGCGCGCGCGGAACGCGACGCGCCGTACGCTCGGGTCTGTTTCTGGTCGGACGGGGAGCCACCCATGCTCGCCGTCCGCAGGCCCGCGCTTACGGTGGCCGGAGATCGTCCCGCGATCCCCGACGCCCGGTGTGTCCTTCGCGATGGCTGGGTTGCGAGGAGGCAGCGCTTCGCTGCCTCACGCGTCCCGCCTCCTCCTTAGCTAGCATGACTGCTTCGCAAAAGGAGGAGACGGCATCCCAATCCCCCTCGCTCCGCATCATGGCCTGCACTAGGCCCGGACGCGAGAGGTCGCCATCGCCGATCACTTCCCTGAGGACACGGCGGTGCTCAGCCCACGAAGGGCATTCTCCCACCGTGTGTTCCACCGTGTCCTCAGGGCGTAATTTTGACTATTGGCTCGAAACTTTCTCTTACATCGAACCTTTATGACTTCTGTGACATGCCCCCGAAAAAATGACACGGCTTCAAAACTACACCTTGTATAAAGAAAAATTAATTATGATTGGCTTGGATATGACAGTTGCTTATGGAACTATTGCCGGAATACTGAAACATTACTCAACTTTAAGTCGTGCTTAAATATCGTGCCATCTCTGTCAATTACAAAGAATTTGTGGAGACAGAACTATACTTAAGCGCGACTTAAAATTGAGTAGCGTTTGAGTATTCCGACAAAAGAGTACTAGGTATTAGAAATAATTATTCACAAAAATAAAAACCCTTGTTGACACAACTTCGATGATAGATTCCCATTGTGGCTAAATTACCTATATTGTATGATAGTAAGGTAATTCGATATTATCTTTATTTTCTAGGATGTTTTAACAGAAAGTGGGAAGGAAGTCGTCCAACTCATCAAGGAAGGTGCACATGTCTACATTAGTGGAGATTTACATACGATGGCTGTGGAAGTCAAGGAGATATTAGTGAACTGTTTAGTCGAACATGGAGACATGACCTCAGAAGAAGCTATGGCTAAGATATCTCATATGCAGAAACATTACCAATATGTAGTTGATGCATGGAGTTAATATTTAATTACAGCTATTAGTTAGCACAATGGCATAATATATTTATTTTTGTTGTACACCTATGTATGTTACGATTTTATTCCAAATTGATTAAATATTTTATTTATATTATATCTAGTTTTTTAGTTGTTTCTATATTTAACGTCAATTCGTTGTTGACCAATATAACTATTGATTGTATTATTGTAAAAAAGTGCTATGGGTTAGATAAATTAAAGTCAAAAGATATTTTAGAAAAATAATTTAATAGGCAAATTATATTAATAAAATGTTCAAAAAAGTGTCCTTTGTGTATATAAACTTACAATAATAGCGTAGCGTCAATACATACATAGTGCTGTAGTATATGAGACGAGTCTTGCGTTACTGGCAGTTAGAGCGCGCACAATGTCGGGACTCGAAGGCGACAGCTCGGCCGCCAGTCACCAATGATCTCGATTTACTAAGTACCTCGACGTTGATTACATAAGTGGACGATCTTTTATACGTAGGTAGTATTGCCACCGTACTGCATTGTACTTTCTGTGTACAAAATTCCCACAATTACCTCCATACAAATTGTAATTTTATATGATTCATCAAAGTAACGAGACTACATCGTCATATAGAACAGCATGCACACGATTCTTCGTTGTGTCGATGAAAATGCTTAAATTCTAGTCCGTAAAAGTACATCTAAACTATAGTACGAAGCAGGCACTCATGGCAGAGATATTATTATAAAACTGATGTCTCCCATAAGCTACGACGGATCGAGTGTATGTGAACTTAGTAACAAACATAAGATACTGATATAATACTAAAACAATCTCAAAATACATTTTGTCCTTTTGAAGAGTAATTACAGTATATTGCACCGTTTGAAATGTATGAAAACGAAGATGATAGAGAAGTATCAATGAACATGATCCAAAGTAATATCACTCGGGGAGTTGAAGCTGTTACATTGCCTATTATTCATATACACGCTAATATTCTTATGAGTATAACTCAAAGGTGTATTGAAGGTTCAAGAGAGATAAAAAAACTCACGTAAACTGTTGAGTATGGCAACACTGATTGACGAATAAACACATTATGAGAAAGATAGCATAAAACAATTGAACACCATAACAGTTAGCAAACGAATTATCCTACAATACACCACATAGAAGTAGCACAACATATTTGCAATACACATAATAATAGCGCTAAACATTTCCTTATTTACCATGACCAGACTATTTTTTAAATTCGCATAGCAACATATGCTGTACCTTTAACAAAATAAAGTTAATTTTTATAATACATAAAACATCGTCAAATTCCCGAAGTTTGAGCACAAGTACGTTTACTGAAATAATTTGTTTGAAAATTATTCCAGTGTCTAATGGAGGCAATGTCCCTGTTATAGTACAATGAGGAATATAAATATAAACGAGTGTTCGATGCTTGAATATATTTTATAATGTTAGTCGACACGCCGCCACGGTGTACTGTCCTATTGTGCTCTCATCAGTACCTATTTATCTATAAAGAATGGCTAATACTATTCTCAAAATGCAGTACTGTAAAACAGTCTTAATTTTTTGTCGTTAGTTTTATATTAAAGTAGAATATAGAATACTTTTCCACGGAATACATTTTCATAAGAAGTACGAGAATGCTGCAGGAATGTGACACCGCGTCCTAAACTGTTGCATTTGGTTGAACCGGTAAAATATAAATTACAAAAATAACATTGCAAATGATTACGACTAGCTAAAAAGTTATTTCGTATGTACATTTTTGGTAATAGCCTAACTGTGCACCAATCACTTATTTTATCAAAAAGTACCTTAAAAAACAAAACGTATTTGTGTGGCCACCTTAACCTGATTGTTAAAAACCTTAAATATATTTTGTAGTTTATAAAAATACATATTACTTTTCATGGCTCTGTAATGTCCCACAGTGGCCAGAGAGTCAAGAATGACATCTCTTCATAAAACTGCACGATTTCCAAAAACTAATTCAAATACGTTCAAAATGTTACCAAAAACTGTTTCCTTACAATAGAAAAATACTTAATTTGGACAGACTACATTCTTATTAAGTAACTAAATCCTAAGCCGATTAGCCTAAAACTTGTAAAATCAATTCATATTGGATAATTATGGCATTTTCTTGTACAAAAATTAAAGATTTCATACGTAACCCTCGAACATTTCATTAGGGGAACACTTTAGTGTGATGTGTGAATATCTATATCAGTTGGAGATACGGTATCTATACGAGTCTAAAGATAAGACAAAAGCTATACGCGCTTAGTGCTGTCGAAATTAATATCTTGCGATTTTATTCTAAATGCGTACAACGAAAAATGTGTAGCTCTATCTAGGAATAAACTATGCTAATACAGAATGCTTCCGTCCTCCGCAAATCCTTTTTTAATTAAACATTGTTGAAATGCCGCGTACCTACTGGCGTATATTGTCCATTAGTCGTAACCTTGTAAATACTATGCAAAACTTGGCACTTCATTACAGTCATTTCATTACATTCATAAAGAGCATACAAATTGTAAAAGGCTATAAAAGTGAAATACACGTAAAAATGAAGAAGGAATGAAACAGTTACCAGTCTCAGTCGTGGTTCTTGCGGTGGACGTTGTGAGCGGCCTTGATGAGGGGCGTCAGTGTCCTCAGTTCCATGGCACAATCAAGGAACGGATGCCTTAGGAGTTCGTCCGCCGCGGCTCGTAAATCTACATCCACTTGTAAACATTTATCTAGGAAGTCCTGGAAGTGTGGTGTTAACTTTTCCCACCTAGGGATTTTAGGCCGCCCTACTGCAGCGATAAGATATAAAGCACGCAACGGAGACTCTTTCATGTAAGGTGGCTCGCCTTCAATCATTTCGATCCCCATAATACCTAACGACCACACATCAACCTTTTTACCATATTGCTTCCTGGTGACGACTTCAGGTGCCATCCAGTAAGGCGTGCCGACCATAGTTTGTCGTTTCTCATCGCCTACTATGTTGGCGCAGAATCCAAAGTCTGTAACTTTGACAGTGCCGTCCATACCGAGCAGGACATTGTCAGACTTAATATCCCTGTGTATTGTGCCTTTGGAGTGCAGGAAGGCAATGGCCTGAAGGGTTTCACGACACACGGCAGCTATCTGGCCTTCCTTCATGACGACTTCAGTGACGACGTAGTTGAGGGAGCCTCCGTCGAGCAGTTCCATAGCGACCCACAGGTGATCGTAACTGAGGAACGCGTCCAGAAAATTGACCAGATTCTTGTGGTTGAATCCCTTCAACACGTTTATTTCATTGAGTATTAGTTCCTTCTTGCTTTGCTTGGTGAGGTCGATGTCCTTGATGGCAACTTTGGAGTTGTCCTTACTGTCTATCGCGACGAACACCACACCTGTCAAAAACATTGTACCACTTAGTTAATTAGAAGGAAATGCAATAGCTTGCTGAGTGCGCGAGGGGTGTCTGTGAGGTGCGGCTCCTGTTTCCAGCTTTTATGGCTAATTTGAACTTTACATTTTGTAATTCTACTTTTAGTAATGTGTTGAATAGTTTATGGTTTACTTACTATAGGGTAATCACTACATAGTATAAAACAAAGTCGCTATCTGCCGTCTGTCCCTATGTATGCTTAGATCTTTAAAACTACGTAACGATTTTGATGCGGTTTTTTTAAATAGATAGAAGGATTCTTAAGGAAGGTTTATAATATGTATAATACATGCATAGCCGTAGTACAAAAAAACCGTGCGAAGCCGGGGCGGGTCGCTAGTGATGAAATAAATACTTGTAGTGATGATAACTACCATTTCATTAATTGACTAGTAAATAAATAAAAAAATATAATTATGATAAATTATGTTCTCTACATAATAGGAAAGATTGAATATGATAATTTTCCAATATAATGCAAAGTATTTACAACTCTTAATGTTAAGTTTTGGAACAGAAAACTACAATATAAATAAACATAATTTAGTCATTCAAACGATATTGTACTTAATCAATTCAGAAAGTAGTCAACTGATAAGATTGTAAAATTCTTGCTTGTTATGTAAAGATTTTGTGTGACATTCAATGTCACATTAATCACAGTTAAGATCATGGAAGGCTGGTAATACCTGATGGGCATGTTCTTTTCGTTTTTATATTGCACATAAGAATTTGGACTATGTTCGAGAAAATTCTAGAAGAGCAAAATATGTAAACATTTTTGTCTATAAACAGTTATCAGATAATTCAAACAATAGTCTTTTATCAATCACCAGATTACCACTGTGTTGACTGATGAAATATATTCCACATCATCCTTTCAGGTTTAATTCCTATTAGTTTTTTATATATGTAATAGTTCTATATACTTATTTGAAATCTGCGGGTAGTGTCTAACTACTCATAATTTTTATGTATTTGGTTTTGATAAATTACTGACTAAAATTCTCATCATTAATATGTTTTTGTGAGTTCAAATACTTTTCGTACTAAAAAAAGCTCTTGTAGTTGGAATGAATGACACAAGTTAAAAGGAAGTATGCAAAAGGAGGAAAAATTATAAAACAATTATTTTTAGTCAAAAATTGAGGTTGCTCATAGCTTATTTATTATTACCACTATAAGTAACGATAACAAGTACCTATATAATGTGGTATGATGCAAACATAATGGGAATTTAATTAAAACATTAATCAGCATTTTTGATCCAATTCAAGAACACCAACAACTATTGACATAGAGGATGCCAGTAAGCAGTTTATTTATCATAATAATATTGTCACTCACAAATAATTTTGATCAAAGATAAGACAGAATTAGGTATGTTAGGGATAAATAAGCAATTTTGAGGAAAAAGTTAAATATAATTATTTGAAAGATACACTCTGCAGTACCTACATATGAGAAGACAGGATAGTCATACCTCAAAGAGTGTGCTACATTTAAATATGGAATGAGACGAAAAAGTAAATCAAAGTAAAAATGGACAGATTGTGTTAAGAAAGATATGGAAGGAGTTTGTAACAGGGGAATTGAAAAAGGGAGACCTAAAGCAATTTTGGATTGTCAAACATTTCAGATATTAAACAGAAGTACTGTTGGTACCAGAAAAATACCAGGACCTCACCTGCTAGGCTCCTACGGTAAGAATACTATACTAACTATACAGGGCCATCTTAAGAGTTCGCTGGTGCCCTTAGACACAATAATTCAGGAGCCTTTTGGAACAACTATTTTTTTTTGCCACTCAATATGTAGCAGGTTTGTATCATAAGTGTAGAAATTGTCGGTTCTCAGGGGTCCCCTGAGTATGGGGGCCCTGGGTATGGGCCCCGAGTGCGCTTATGGTTAAGACTGTACTGTAATTATAAAAATAAACCTTGTATATAAATGAATTAATAGACCTTGGGGTATGACCAATGCAGTGTGCACATGTCTGCAATCTCTTTGTTTTGTAATAACCAATCATTATGAAATATGTATTGAGGTATAAACACTATTAGTTACTTCATTTATAAATTCTCACTTTATTTTCATTGAAGACTTTATTGAAATACCTTATTTTTTTATTGAAATAGGTAGTCAGAAATTACTTTATATATAATTATATGCAGATTGCAGGTAAGAAGTTATTACAGATACAACATCAAAAGATTCGGCTTTCGTTAGTTTTGGATAACAGCTGTGTAGCACTGAATCTATTTTTATTTTCTTACCTGCATACGAAATTCTATTGCTAACTGTATAATTTCATGGTAATAGTTTATAATAGAATGTATTAAGCAGTGTTATTGTATATAAGCTTGTTTGTTGTTGATGTGTATAAATCTCCTCAATTTTGTCACTTATTCTCGGTTCAATTAACAGATTAGTGTCAATTGGTCACTGAATGCTAGCTGTATGCTTAATGCTCTTAACCTCGTTTGTGATCAGAAGGCAGTGTTAATAAGATATATTGTGCTGCTTGGTACATTTATATTTAACTATAATATTATCATGTTAGGTTTGTTATAATTATTGAAGTTAAGTCCATAATGCCAATCATAATTAAGAATGATTACAGCAAAAACAAGGTATATTATGTTTATTTACCTGTAATTTTGGCATAAATTAATTTAATGGTTCTTTTACAAGAAATCTGGTATTGTCACCAATGTCTTTACTGTGTAACTCACCTGATGCACCAGCCCCAAGCTGCTTTATCCTTTCAAACCGTACATAAGGATCGTCCTTGTTGCATATCTTACGCAGTTCTTCATATATTTCTTCATCAGTCAGTGTAGCATATCTCAGCTCCTTCTTTCGCAGTATGGGACTTTCCTCTGGGTCATTACCAATCAGACTTAAATCTTCCACCACAGCTGTCAAGTCCATCATTGCATCCTTTTTCTTCATGCCGGTTTTGATGGGTGCAGCGGGCATGGTTTGTCTCTGCGAGTATATGTCATTGATGCCAACCTCCTCCTCGCTACTTTGTCCTATTGACAGGTCTGAATCCTGACTCTGGTTTTTCTGATTCTTATGAACTAGCAACTCCTCTATTTCTTTATTTTCTTCAGTGATTGCCTCGTCAGTGAGGAATGGCTTGAACGGCTCATCAGGTGCTTTCTCCTTTTTGATTGTGTACATATGGAACTTGACAGCCTGGATGGCCGCATCTGGGTTCTCATTTTGTTCGGCTGGTGTAATCTGTGTGTTTAACAATCGCAACCAAGACGTTGGTAATCCTTCCAACATACCAGTTTCTGAGTTCTTACTAACATGAATATGTTGTTTAACGTCTGTAGGCATACCGATGTCAGTCACTCGCTCTTCTCTCTCTCTGGGAGTCTTTTTTGAGAAGAGTTTCCCAAACACACCACGGCTCGATCGCCCACTCATTTTGATTGATAACTGATTGTCTATTAACAATTAAGCCATATCACTGTCACGTATTTCAAACACAAAATCTGCATTGCTTGTAAGACTCTTATTAGCAAAGGCGGAATTTGGATTTAGCTATGATAGGAGTGGCTTTAACACGGACGGATCCTTGGGACGGCGGCCACTTTATCATCTGTCAAATGTCGTGAAGAAAAATGGAGAGAAAATATAATGTACGTTTATTTTTACGATTGTCGACGAAGAGGAAAGCTGGATTGTAAAAAGAAAAGATTTTTAATGGCATAGAATAAAATACTAAATTATAAATTATATTTTATTAGTATATAATAAATATTCTACAACGTTTAAATGAATTATAATATTAAACCGACACAAAAATTCCACGATTCACTTTTGCTGTTATTGCGTGGCAAGGAACGTGGTGTTCGTACGTCTATACATTTGTAGGCCTGGCGTATCGCTGCTGATAAATAGGAATTTTGGATGATTCATTGTCCATCCGTAAGGCGTGAGGACCGAGTAGTAATATTGAATCTTTTGCACACATTTGAATATAGAGCGATAACAATACATTTATAGATAATGCTTGATATTTGATAATGTTTAGAAGAGGAAAATGAAATAGGTTACTGGACGGTTTGCGCCGATATTAATTAGAGTCTAAGTATTAGGGATTTTTTGGCCCTCAGATTGGAAGGATTTTAAATAATATAATCGTTTTGTAGTAAACCTTAGGGCCTGTTCCACAATTTTCGAATAATCGCTATGTACCAAGAGAAGGCCCTAAGAAACAGACCTTGTAGTATCTCTCATTTAATGTAAATAATGTAAATGTACTGCCTACTTACACAATTAAGGTACTCTGGGGTGAAGAAAACACCAAGAATAACAGTTGTGATATTATATATCACAACTATGATTACATAGAGGTACATTGTGATAGTATACAGAAAATCAGCCTAGGCCCCTATAGCCTGGGCTCGGGCTCTTTGAGGAGTGGCTTGAGAGACGCTACGGCATCCTCACCTACCGCCTGACACATGTCCTCACCGGACATGGGAGCTTCGGGAGGTACCGCCCTGAGGACACGGCGGAACACACAGTAGGGGAATGCCCTGCGTGGGCTGGGCACAGCCGTGCCCTCAGGGATGTGAGCAGTCATGCTAGCTAAGGAGGAGGCGGGAAGCCTGAAGCAGCGAAGCGCTGCCTCCTCATAACCCAGCCATCGCGAAGGACACTCCAGGCGTCGGGGATCGTGTGACGATGTCCGGCCACCGTAAGCAGCTCGCCGCCCGACTAGAACCAGACCCGAGCGTGTGTCGTCGCGCAGTCGTGGTTCGCGCGCGCCTCAAAGAGCCATCAGATCAGACCACCACAGATGGGGCTGATGCTGATACGGAGCCGCGGAGAACTTAACGGGTTACCGGGGCTCCGGCTGGAAGTGCAGGAGTAGGTTTTTAGTCAGTAAGAGTCGGACACTCCCTTCCGCCTCACCCAGGCGGGAGAAGTCATTTGATAATTTTCCCCCTTTAAAAAAAAACCCTATACCTACCCTATTTAAATAGGTCTTACGGTCTTACTCCCTTGGCGGTTTATACCTGGCTGGGTGGGGTCTAATTAGGTACCGATTTTACAAGTGTGTTGTAATTTCATGCATAGGTTTCCCAGCTACAATAAACAAGACGGTTAAAACAAAGCGACACATTTTAATATCATAATTTTAATTATCCTTATGGAGCACTTAGCACTTAGTCTTAACAACACTTATAAATATAATCTTCTCTTCCATCTTGAATTTTCTTTTAATCAGGAAGATGGACTTTCCGGACTTTGTTCTTGTGTCTCATCACTTTCCGTTATTTTCAGGCTCACGGTAACGGGAGCAATAGGATTTTCATTTTCTTTGATGGATGTAGAATGTGAGTTCTGGTTCAGAATTCTTGCCCAGGATTCTGGCAAACCTTCCAGACGGCCAGTTTCTTCGTTTTTTGTCACATGTATATGTTGTTTCATGTCTGTAGGCATACTGATGTCAGCCGGCCTTAGTTTCTTTTTGAGAAACAATTTATGCCACAAACTTCCCATGTTCTTTGTAATAGTGATAGGTACTGCAGTTAGTATACACCCGTTTAATTATGTGGATATTGTTTGAGACATGTCACATAGCACAGTGATGAAAACACAAGGTTTAAGTACTAATTGCACTTTGTTGCGCAAGTTACTATTTTTTTTTTGTTTTTATGTCTTGTATAATTGTAAGCCTCCGTCAACAATTTTAGTTGTTCATTATTCCCTGAAGAATACGAAGTTAGACTTTTTCCAATTTACGCGTTCTTGCGGGAGTAAGTAATTAGCTAAATTAGTTTTATCAGAAAAGTTAATATAATTTATATATATCTTTGTAGTACTAAATGTATACATAAATAAAGATTTTGAATAACGGGCTAGTCAAATCAACTGTGTTTGTAGAAAATAACCAAGTAGGACCTTATTGAATCTAAATTATAAGTTACGTGAATTGGATCGTGTATTTATTTATTGTGTGAGTGGTCCTGCAACTTATATTGTTACCTATTAGTTACGATATTATTAATACACAAAAGCATTTATAACTGACACATTTTCCTCGTTTGATTTTCAGGCAAATTACAATTTAATTATCGACTGGAAACATGTACCTACGTCGTAGGTATCTGCTTAGACCAGTTAATATGAATAGTAGTTCCATACATTTAAGTTTTTATAAACATCTTAATCACTAGTTTAGTGGCATTAGGGCATGTTTGTGTACAGGTGGACTAAATGACTTAAGTGGGTAGACTGGGTAGGCATGAATCTTAGCAAAAAGTCTTGACACTGAAGGGTCAATGGCCAATGATAATTTCAATTTATTCTCGTCAACAAGTGTAGGCAGTAAACCGCTTGTATTCCACTAACTGGCCACTTGTATAAATGAAGGATTTTATGTGCTATAAAATGCGATTGAAATAAATTCGCTATTTCCAAATATATTTTAGGTACGCTGTCTAAAATGATACACTTATTACGCTATTTACCTAATTTCCGAAGAGGTAAAGGCATAGGTGTACATAAAGTTGTTCGTGAATAGTTCAAGTCTCTTTCTCATTTAAAAAAAGGCTTTAATTTGGACGCAAAACGAAAAGTCAAACTTCTTTATTAAGAACTAGCAGCCCGTCCCGGCTTCGCACGGGGTTGACAATTATTTATTTTTGGAAATTTGGATTGTTGTAGTGACATAACTACAATAGTTGGACATATGCTACCGCGGAGTTTTTTGTAGACATTATGATATTCTTCAATATTGCTGTACATTATTTTGTTCTTTCGCTAATAGTTTCGGCAGCACATTCGACGAAAGACATTTTAAGACTCATTTTTCTACACCTTCGGTTACATTGTTCAAATTTTACCAAGGATCCCTAATTTTTTTCAAAATGAAATGTAGCCTATATCAAATTGGAAGAATGTAGCATTCTATTGGTGAAAGATTTTTTTAAATCGGCCCAGTATTTTTTGAGCCTATTCATTACAAACATACAAACATACAAAGATAGGTACAAATCTTTCCTCTTTATAATATTAGTATAGACAAGTGTAGGTGCAAATTATGTGAAAGGATCCTAAATAATCGACTCCTAAAAGGGAAAATGTGAGGACATACGTACTTCTAATTAAGGGCTAAAAGATCAAAAGGTCACATTAAGGTCAAATTACTGAGTTTACCGTCATTGTTTTGTTACAAATTAAGTTAATAATATCTAGACAGTACTAGGTATAGGTACCAACCATGGCCTAATAATACGAACTTATTACCTAAAGCCATTAGACCAAGATTGGTGTTCGTTGCTTATTCTTGCTTTGTATGAAAATACATATGTTGCTGTGGGGCTGGTTGCTATCATGTAACGAATTTAAAATTCTTAGTTTTAGAGTAACAGCATAAAATAACTTGTAACATCACGCCTTTTATCCCTGAAGGCGTAGGCAGGGTGCACATTACGGTACTTAATGCTTATGTACAATGTAATAGGGAACGAGCCTACAGCCATATACCGGGCACATTTCCAGACTTCGAGCAACCACTGAGATTTTTAAAAAACCTTACTGGGTTTTTGCTTTGCCTGACCCGGGAATCGAACCCGATACCCCTTGCCCGGAAATCGCAATTGCGACCACTCGGCCAATGAGGCCGAACATAAAATAATAGTTGGTCATAATCCTGAGGTAGCTTTAACTGGATCGACAATGTGTTTGCTTTCCTCAAATTGATAATTATGTTGCAAATAAATATAACACCGATGTCGCGGACAGAGGCAGGTATTAAAGGAAAATAATGATAAAATACTTCCACTGCTGATATAGTGATGGATATTGCGTGTAATCTCTGTAATGTTTTTATCGACTTTAATTGACATTTAGGAGAAATGTTATCGACTAAACGTATTTAGAAACTGAGATAGAAGTTGTAGAACACGAGTACTTACCTAATTATCAAGTCAAGGTAAAGGGGGTGCTAGGTTAATTTTTACCTAATGTGGATAAAATTTCACCTAATGTATGTAAAATTTGTTACTTTGCGGTTTTTGTTCGACTTCTAGTGATCGTAGCGTGAAAGTTTTATAGCTCGCAGCTTTCCTTGATACATGAACTATCCAACATACAAAAATGACTACTGAATCCCCAACAATCCTCAAATTCCTCATCCCCAAAATGTTAACGCCCTTCCCTGTAACGCTTCTGGTATTCCAGGTGTCCAGGGCGACGCCGATTACTAATGGCGTAACTATTCAGTTCGAGGACCGTGGAAAATTTATCGGTTGGGGCCCTGTTCCCATTACAAAATAGAGAAATTTATGTGAAAACCTCTGAACGTCTGGTGGAAGGCGCCGTGACATTTTGCCACCCTGTAGTTACGCCACTGCCGATTACTTACCATCAGGCGATCCGTCTGCTCGTTTACCGGCTTATTCTATAAAAAAAAACAACAGAAAAATAGTTTATGTACTGTAAATTCGAATCAGTAGGTATCTAACCAGTTTCAGAGATTAGTATATTATTATTGAAGATTACGTCTTTGAAGGTAGACAGAAGAGTAACGCAAAAGTTAGGCAACGCCTTACATACCATGTGTCGATTGTAGATGACTTTCCAGCAAAGA